CGGGATGGAGAGATTAATGAAAGCATTGATGATGCATACCTGTCCGACATTCTGATAAATGCCCATCATATTGGAAGGAGTATACATGGAAAGTGATGACCTGATGTTTAATCCCCCCCCCCCCCAGTCATTACAAAGAAATCCTGTCTAGATGGCTTGGGCAGCACTGGGGAGTCTATGGGGAAACAGCCTATTGCTGAGTCTGCATTTCTGATGTAAATCATTCAGTGTAGTAGGGCCCAATCCTATGAGGTCCAGAGCAGCCTCTGGGTCTGATCCAAAGGCTGGTGAAATCAATGAGAGTCTTTCCATTGATTTCAAGTGGCTTTAGATCCGGCACAACGTACTTTCGCTGCCTATTTCTATCTCGATGGAATTTTCCCTTACGACTAGTTCTGAGCCACTCAGGTGATCCCTTTGGCTCACAGAAGTTCTCTGCCATCAGTTCTGGAGTCCACAGAGTTGGAGCCACAAGGCTTTTTTGTTTTTAGTGTGGTTTTCCAATGGAAGACAACTGGGCGGGTCAAGACACCTTTGATGGGGAGGGACTGATCCACCCAAGCCCAGATGAGCCAAAGCAAACAAACAGATAAATGGCCCACTCACACCTTCTCAGATGGAAACCACCAGGGCAAACCCTGAGGGGCAGAGAGTGCAGTGGGAAAGGGGAAGGACCAGAACAGCCTGCCCATCACCAGGGTGATGAATTTGCACATATGCAACATCTGCTCAGATCCCTAATGACAGCCTTGAGATAGCCCCAGCCTCTTATGGCTTTCCCCTCCCCAACCCTATGGCTAGAGGCCAGAGCTAACCCACAAATCTGCCGCCTCCCACATCTGTCTCTAGGCTTCCATCTCCTTTGGGCTCTGAGGATCTGATCCAGAGTCCACAGAAGTCAGTGTAGGAGTCTTTCCCATTGACTTCAATGAGCTTTGGAGAAGGCCCTACAGCATTTTAGGAGCTGGGATCTACGGTGTAAGAAGTGCTGACTCTACCTGCCTCACCTGAGGGTTTTGACCTGGGACTCAAGATTCGGGGGGATTTCTCAACACGGTCTTCAAAAATCTCCGGACAATCAGAGATGCCATGGCTGCAGATGCTAGGGCTGTCGATTAATCACAGTTAACTCATGTGATTAACTCAAAAAAAGTAATCGTGATTAATTGCACTGTTAAACAATAAATGCCAATTGAAATTTATTTAATATTTTTGATGTTTTTCTACATTTTCAAATATATTGATTTCTATTACAACACAGAATTCAAAGTGTACAGTGCTCACTTTATATTATTTTTTTATTATAAGTGTTTGCACTGTAAAAATGATAAACAGAATAGTATTTTTCAATTCACCTCATACAAGTACTGTAATGCAATCTCGATCGTGAAAGCGTAGCTTACAAATGTAGCTGTTTTTGTTACATGCCTGCACTCAAAAACAAAACCATGTAAAATTTTAGACCCTAAAGTCCACTAAGTCCTACTTCTTGTTCAGCCAATCGCCAAGACAAACAACTTTATTTACATTTATGGGAGATACTGCTGCCCGCTTCTTGTTTACAATGTCACCTGAAAGTGAGAACAGGCGTTTGCATAGCACTTTTGTAGCTGGCATTGCAAGGTATTTACATGCCAGACATGCTAAACATTCGTATGCCCCTTCATGCTTCAGCCACCATTCCAGAAGACATGCTTCCATGCTGATGATACTCGTTAAAAAAGTAATGTGTTAATCATGGATGGTGGGTGAAACTTCCCCTGGGGGAGGCGAGCGCCTTGTCCTGCCTCTTCTGTCCATGGCCCCGCCCATGCTCCATCCCTTCTCCGCCCCAGGCCCTGCCCCTGCCCCCTCCCACCGCTGACTCGCCGCTCACCTCTTCACCCCCCAGTAAAGTCCCCCCCTCCACTGACCACCTCCCCCACCCACCTGCCGCTCGCCAACCTGCTGCTTGCCTCCTCACCCTGCTGCTGATCTCCCTCCCCGCTGTGAGACACTGCCCCTTTTTCACCCTAAAGCACTAATAACATTCCCTAAGGGAACTGAACAGGCAACAGCTATAGATCAATTGCCAGATGGATTCTCCTCTGCATGGTAGGGAGTTTGATCGGTGTATACTGTATATAGAGAGACGTGGCTTTTCACGCCACCTGCGCCAAACTGAAGCCGAATCTCTCCTTTTGAAAAAGCCTTGGTCATTGACAGCCTGCATTATGGCAGTAGTTTAATCACCTCTCTTACACATAATTCCCTGCCAGACTCCTTTACTTAAACTGGGTTTGAATAAAACGCCTAGATCAAGAATTTGGAAACGGTTTTTAACCCCCAAATAACACATTTTGCTACAATAGAAAAGCCAGCTGAATGTGGCCAAAGGGAAAGGCTTCCTGGCCGTTGGCAAATGCCTGTTAAATGGCTTCATTTATTTTTGCGGATACAGACTAACACGGCTGCTACTCTGAAACCTGTCATTACCACTTTAATGGCCCTTTAACAGTTTCAGTGATTGGCTACAAGGTCTCTGGAAGGTTTTTTCACCGGTGTAAAAGTTATTCAGGGATCCCCTCCCTATGCCGCCTCACTCCCCTGCCTGCCACTCGCATCCTCACACACACACACACCAGGCCCCACGGGGAGGGGGAATAAGGAGGAGAGAAGCTTCAGGCAGCTGCGGGGACCTCCAAAAGGGGAGTGGAGGAGCAGAGAGGAAGAAGACTGATCAGGTAGCAACAGCAGTCCCTGGGAGCCTCGGGGAAGAGTCAGAGCAGGGAGGGGAAGAGGCGGGAGGGGGGGTCACCACAGCCCTGGTGTCGGGCGGCAGGGACGGCTGCACTAGGAGAAAGAGCAGGAGTTTTTGTGGCACCTTAGAGACTAACAAATTTAGTCTCTAAGGTGCCACAAGTCCTCCTGTTCTTTTTGCGGATACAGACTAACACGGCTGCTACTCTGAAACCTGCACTAGGAGAGGCAGTGCCTCCCCTTGCCTATTATATCGGCCGCACATGGCGTTAATTAAATTTGTGACTGAACTCCTTGGGGGAGAATTGTACGTCCCCTGCTCTGTTTTACCCGCATTCTGCCGCATATTTCATGTTATAGCAGTCTCGGATGATGACCCAGCACATGTGGTTTGTTTTAAGAACGCTTGCACTGCAGATTTGACAAAAATAATTAATTAATGGAGATATCCCATCTCCTAGAACTGGAAGGGACCTTGAAAGGTCATCGAGTCCAGCCCTCTGCCTTCACTAGCAGGACCAAGTACTGATTTTTGCTCTAGATCCCTAAGTGGTCCCCTCAAGGATTGAACTCACAACCCTGGGTTTAGCAGGCCAACGCTCAAACCACTGAGCTATCCCTCCCCCCCACAGAAAGAACCCTCCCCCTTCACGGAAAGAAGGTAGCAATGTGAGATTTCTCAGGATAGCTACAGCACTCAACCCAAGGCTTAAGCACCCAAAATCTGAGAGGGACGAGGGGTGGAGCTAGGGTGACCAGACAGCAAGTATGAAAAATAGGGACAGGCGGTGGGGTTAATAGGAGCCTATATAAGAAAAAGACCCCAAAATCAGGACTGTCTCTATAAAATCAGGACATCTGGTCACCCTAGGTGGAGCATGCTTTCAGACGTCTTAAAAAAGTAACACTCCGATGTGGAAACTACTGAACCCAAACCACCAAAAAAGAAAATCAACCTTCTGCTGGTGGCATCTGACTCAGATTGTGAAAATGAACATGTGTCGGTCTGCTCTGCTTTGGATCGTTATCCAGCAGAACCCGTCATCAGCTTGGACGCATGTCCTCTGGAATGGTGGTTGAAGCATGAAAGGACATATGAATCTTTAATGCATCTTTCACGTAAATATCTTGTGACGCCAGCTACAACAGTGCTATGCGAACACCTGTTCTCACTTTCAGGTGACATTGTAAACAAGAAGTGGGCAGCAGTATCTCCTGCAAATTGTAACCAAACTTATTTGTCTAAGCGATTGGCTGAAGTAGGACTGAGTGGACTTGTAGGCTCTAAAGTTTGACATTGTTTTATTTTTGAATGCAGTTTTTGTGTGTGTACATAATTCTACATTTGTAAGTTCAGTTTTCATGACAAAGAGATTGCACTACCGTGCTTGTATTAGGTGAATTGAAAAACACAATTTCTTTTGTTTTTTACAGTGCAAATATTTGTAATAAAAAATAAATATAAAGTGAGAACTGTACACTTTGTATTCTGTGTTGTAATTGAAATCTATATATTTGAAAAGGTAGAAAACATCCAAAAATGTTTAAATAAATGGTATTTTATTACTAACAGCACGATTAATCACGATTAATTTTTTTAATCGCTTGACAGCCCTAGCAGATACCACAACCAGGAACCTAACATTGATTACAACACAGTGGCAGGGGAAGAGTCCAGGGGAGGCTGCAAAGGAGACAGTTCTTGAGACCCACTCCTGTCCAGATTCATTCACTTATATCTGGAAATAGATCTTTTAAAATGTCAGGGCAGTCTATGTTTGTCTGATGTTCCTGCCCCCTGCTATCTTGCAAAGGGAAATCTGCAGGGGAATCTGTGCCTTTTCAGCTCCCCATCCCAGGAAAATAATAGTGTTGCCCCAGGCACAGCCAGAACTCAAACCACCCTCACCATGCCTGTCCCTCACACTCAGGTGCATCGGCCCCGTGCATCCAGACACATATGGAGGGCGACAATGTCACACACAATAGAACGTCTGTGGCACCCTGGAGCCGAGGCTGGATTCTCTCCCAATGGAACGAAAATCCCTTTCATAGCGTGATTTAATAAAAAAAAAAAAAAAGTTCACGTGGATTTAAACAAAATCTTAAATCAACAAATGGACTATGGACTAGAAAGGCCTACACAGAGAAGCAGCATCAGTCATTCTGATCCACGAAGAACAGTTCCTGGGGACCCAACGAGATCAGCAAATGCAATGACCTGCCTTGCAAAAGGAGAGGAATGTTTGGGTAGATCTTACCTGTCTGTTAAAGTCCAGCCCATTTCGTTCATTTCCTACAACAGAGAAGAACAAGAATGAATCTTGGTGTTGCTAAAGTGCCTAGACCCCTCCACCAGCCTCATTGCGCTCGGCCCTGTACAAACATACATGAAGACCTGCTCCTTTCCCCGACAAGCACACCATTCAGTGCAGGACAAGATGCAACAAGTGAGCGTGACAAACAAAGGCAGGGAGATGGGGCGGCAGGATGGAGGCAATGAAAATAAGACCAGGCTGTTACAAAGGTGGCTGTTGCGCAACTCAATGGTTCCCGAAGGTACCAAATCTTTACTGAAATAAAGAGAACCAGCTCTCCCCGGGTGATGCCCCCACTGCGCTGTCACGGGGAAGCTCAGCAGAAGTGGGGCTTGGAGCAAGCAGCATCCTTAGAGGTTACTGAGGGAGGGTGTTCCCTAATCTCTGGCTATCCGACAACTAGATAGCAAGCGCAGAGAAGCTGTGGGAGATGCTGGTAAACAGGTGATGAGGCGGTTCACCTGCAATTCTTGAGGGAATTTGTGGCCCTGAGTAATTACAGGAGATCTAAGGGAATGGAAGGTGCTGTGGGGTTGTGCTAAAAAAGGGGGACTCCTTGATTCAAAGGCAGCTAGGCAAAAGCAAGGGGAATCAGACAGGATCCAACCCGAAGATACAGCACAGGCCTTCACTCATTTCCCTTGGATGATCAACATCTTACCCGCTCCCCACCCAAATCCCTGAGTTCATTGGAACTTGGACTCCAAACCTGGACGTGAATTTTCAGCCACTCTCTACAACGGCTTGAGCCAAACCTCCCAGAGCTGAATCCCAAACTTTAGAGAGTTCAGGTCCCGGATCCAAATTCTCCAACAAAGGCTCATGTCTAATCCATAGGTGCCGCCATTCTCAGCTTCACACCTTCCTCCTCCTGCTCTTTCCCTCCAAACACAACCTGGCCACTACCCATCCCTTTCTGTTCTGTTCCTTCAAGGTCTTTACAGGCTCTTGGACTCCGTTATCTCACTATAAAAAAAGACACTAGCTGGGAGGGAGGGTTAGTTTTTACAAAACATCTGGGCTTGGATTTTCAAAAGGAGCCTAAGGGGATTAGGCACCCAATGGGAATGTCAATGGGCATTGGGTGCCTAACTCCTTTTGGCTCCTTTGAAAATAAGTTTGAGGTTAGGCAAAAAAAATAGTAATAATCTTTCTTCCATTTATTTAAGTCAATGATTTCCCAAGAACTAATAATATAAATCCATGTTTCTATCCAGTTTCGATCTACACAGGCTTGCATGATTGTAGTATCCTCTTCAATCTCACTAGAGGAACATGCTGCGCAAGCAGTAAGGATCCTTGTTTGAAATCTAGTCTTGCCCAGCATCAGGCAACCAGAAAGAAAAGCACACGAACGAGTCAGATCCTCAACTGAGGTCAAACACCCACCGCTCCATCAGCTTCAGTGGTGCTCCCCTGCTTCAGATCAGCTCAGAGCCTGGCTCTTGGGTAGGGTGACCAGACAGCAAGTGTGAAAAATTGGGAGAGCGGGTGGGGGATAATAGGAGCCTATATAAGAAAAAGCTCCAAATATCAGGACTGTCCCTATAAAATCGGGACATCTGGTCACCCTACTCTTGGTGCTCCGCCAGATTCCGGAGGAACCTAAACCTCCCAAGCCTGGAGTTCTGCTCTAAAGCTGGAACCCTTCATTTCCAAGCAAGGTCTGAACTGGCAGAGTGAGTCCGGCCCTCTTTAATCATGAGGGCGTGTGCCAAGCTGGGAAAGCGCCCGGTACTGAAATGAGGGGCTGTCGTGCTTTGAGAACATCTCCTCCCACCCTCAGAGTACTTCCCCCAACTCCCACTTTGAGGGTGCTCAGGTTGGAAGGAATAATCATGGTTGGCTATCAGTAACACTTCAGGCAAACAGCCAACTCCTCTCCCTGGTTCATCTGGCAGCCAGCAAGTATGTGGCTGCTTTGCATAGTGCTGGCACCAGCTCTGGTGCGAGTTTGCCTGGGGAGGTTTCTCTAGGGATGGGAGGGGAGAGCCGCAGCAGGGTTCCGGCCGGATTTTTTGCCAGGAGTGTTTTGTTTACAACTGAAAAGTCAAACAGCGTGGTCAGTTCTCAACGAACGCAACCCCTATTCGGATCCTTGCTGTCACCATCACAACCAGCACGACCCCCATTTGGATCCCTGGTGTCACCATCACAACCAGTGCAAAAATATGTAGTCACGACAGAAGAGATCATGCTGGTGGGGAAGTGGCACTGTATGTGAAAGAAAGCATAGAGTCAAATATAGTAAAAATCTTAAATGAATCAAACAGTACCCCAGAATCTCTAGGGACAGAAATGTCACGCTTGACTAATAAGAGTGTAGCAGTAGGAATATACAATGGTGACAGTGACTGGTGAAGGAGATGAGAGAGGCTACAAAAACAGAAAACCCAATTATAAGGGAGGATTTCAACCATGTTGTCTATGAGCATGGCACCTCAGGATGTGATAAAGAGATAATATTTCTAGACACCAATAATGGCTGCTTCTTGGAACAGCTTTCCCTGGAACCCGCAAGGGGAGAGGCAATTCTTGATTTAGTCCTAAGTGACGCACAGTATCTGGTCCAAGAGGTGAATATAGCTGAACTGCTCGGTAATATCAGCCATGATGTAATTAAATTTAACATCTTTGTAGGGGAGAAAATACCAAATAAACCCACCACAGTAGCATTTAACTTCTTTTTAATTTACATGTTATTAGCGTCCTCACTTTTGTGTAGTTCAAAAAAGGGAACAGTCACAGGAGTGAAATGCCTGCAAGCCGCATGGAAACTTTTAAAAAACACGATAATACAGACTAACTATACATACACCCCAAACAATACATTTTCTTTAAAAAAAGTAAGAGGACAAAAAATGCCACCACGGCTAAACGAAGCAGTTAGAGACAAAAAGGCATCCTTCAAAACAGCAATTTTGTTGAGTACATCAGAAGCAGGAAGCCTGCCAAACAATCCGTGGGGCCACTGGACAATTGAGGTGCTGAAGGAGCACTCAAGGAAGACAAGGTCATTGTGGAGAAGCTAAATGAATTCTTTGCATAGGTCTTCATGGCTGAGGATGTGAGGGAGAGTCCCACACCTGAGCCATTCTTTTTTGGTATCAAATCTGAGGAACTGTCCCAGACTGAGGTGTCATTAGAGGAAGTTTTGGAACAAATTGATAAATTAAACAGAAATAAGTCACCAGGACCAGATGGTATTCACCCAAGAGTTCTGAAGGAACTCAAATATGAAATTGCAGAATTACCAACTGTGGTATGTAACCTATTGCTTTAATTAACCTCTGTACCAGATGATTTGTGGATAGCTAACGTGACACCAATTTTTAAAAAAGGTTCCAGAGGCAATCCTGGCAAATACAGGCTGGTAAGGCTAACTCCAGTACCAGGCAAATTAGTTAAAACGATATTAAAGAACAGAATTACCAGAATACATAGATACGTTGGGGAAGAGTCGGCATGGCTTCTGTAAAGGGAAACCACGCCTCACCAATCTACTAGAATTCTTTGGGGGTGTCAACAAGCATAGGACAAGGGTGAGCCATTGGATACAGTGGCACTGGCCACTGTCGGAAAACAGGATACTGGGCTTCTCTTGGGGTGGCTGGGTTGCATCCCTTTGCATTTTAAGCTTCTCATGTGAGGCAGTGGGCATGCTGGGGGAAATTCTGTTGCTGTTCCCCTGTTAAAGCATAAGATCGATTACTGCTAACTCCTTGGGTTAGTTAGTCTTCTCTCCCTTTTCCCTTCATGATGAAGAAGCTGGGTCAGGACTACGATATGGCTAACGGGCAGAGATGTTTCATTTGCAGAATTTCTCTGCCTCTTAAACTTCCTATTTGTGACAAATAGAGAAGTACAGGAGGCAGCCAGCTCTCGCGGCAATGGAGAGAAAAGCAATCAAGAGTCAAGAAAACACAAGCTATAATTACCTCATGACACAACAATCGATCTTACAACATCTTCTGAGACCATGCGCTAGTCACCTACAGGGGGCATCAGTTTGCCAAGATAGCAACCTGTTGGCAACATACTGATTACACGACCAGGGTTGTAGACAGAACCCCTCCCCCAAAACCTAAATTAATTCACCCTACATTTTGAGTGAGCTGTACAGAATGGAAGGGGATTTGGTCACTAGGAAATTTTGGATTTGGACTGCACACTAATGGCAAGTTAAATCTTTATAAGGAGCAGCTGGGGAATTCACTGGGGGAACAGATTTTCCATGTGCTGCTTTGGAGAATTACATTCTGTGCAGTTGAACAATGAAAGAGGAACAATGTCAAGGAAGGAACAATGCCAGACACACATTAAGTGTGCTGGCTGCAATTATTTATACAGTAAAATGTCATTACAGCATCACACAGGGGGCAGTAAGAAGAAAATTATTGCAATGGGATGATTTATATATTGGAAACAAATGGTTAGGAAATTGGCTTGCTCACATTAATTGACTGTCTATTGACATGATTGCTGCTCCCACCAGCTCCATCATGTCGACTATCACATGATATTCAATGCTCACTCAGCAGTGGGGAAGGAAAAGCCCCCAGCAATGATCATTAGAGCTATAAATGGCATTTGAGTCGGATGTTATAAAGGAGCAAAACCTCTTAGCTGCATTGAAATGGACTCTTATATTAAGCATCAAGTTAAAAGTAACTGAACAAATAAAATGTTCCTACTTATGGTTACAAATGAATTTGATGGTCAAAATGAAAAGAATGGTAAAAGTCAAATAGGCTCCTGGGTATTTACATTGGTTTGTTTTTGCATCTCACTCAGCTTAGACAATTCATAGAGTTTAAGGCCAGAAGCGACCATCATCTAATCTGAATAGGCAACAGATTTTACCCAGTGATTCCTGCAGCCAGACCATCAACTTGTGGCTGAGCTAATACCATCACCTAGCTGTCATACAGCATGTTCATCTGTAGATCTCAAAGCACTTTACCGTGGAGGATGTCAG